TCATGTTCCTTTAGCACAAGGCCCATTGGGGAAACATCTGAAACTGTTAAGTTTGTTAATCAAAAATTCATTAACGTTTTACAAGATATGAAATAGATTATAAAACAAATTCGGGGTTCCACGTGCCCATATTCTGGTGGAGGACTACGTTATTCAGAATGGGAAGACTCTAGGTACCGCTGTTTTTTCACAATGCGAGAAACATGCATGCATTCATGCAGATTCTTCATTATTTAATTTCTTTAAATATAATGCAGGGCTCTAATATTAGGTGGCAACAATTTTAAAAGTGAAACACCGTTTTACAGTGGATGACGCAAAATGCCAAAAAGAAAATTAATAGTCCTTCTGGGCAAATTGCCCCTTTGGGGTAAAAGTAACTAATAATTAAATTAAAATTTGATTAAAATATAAAGGTATAAATAAATTTTAATAAAGTATTAAATTAATGATAAAAATAAATAAAAAACTGACCTCCTATTGTTTGGAGATTCAAATGGAATTACAATTTTACACAAAAACTAAGTAATAGCTCAGCCAGCCTCCTACTGGATTTAAAGCCCTAAATATATAGTATATTGTATTGTTTCATGCGATGATAGAAATAAAAGTTATCCTTTTTCCATCACAGTAATAAAAAAAGCAAAACGATTAAACCTTCACTAAGGAGAATAGGGAGATTACTAAAAAAAAGTACGAGAGTGTGGAAGAAAATTTTAACGGAGAAGTGTAGCTTTCAAAAACAAAAAGAGAAGAATTCATCGCCTTCTGATCGCTATGCCCTACCGATATAATTCTATCTGTCAAGCATAATTTGACAGGGGTAAAAAATCCCTCCCCAAATCCGATCCGATTATAACGTGAAAACAAGTGTAAGGCTCTGTACAAATGACAATTTTCATCCATTGCATCTCATAAGTATCTGCAGGAGGTCCGGTGACGAAAACTACTAGCAATGTAGTGCACAACCAAGATGATCAAGTTTAGTACTTTCTGGAAAGAAACATTTACCCGCTGTCATTAATTCATTTAACAAAATTCTTTGCGAGGTAGATGTCTTCGAGAAGTTGGATGGCGTCTCAAGTCTTTGAGAAGTGGATGGCGGCTTTCCTTTCCTTACACTTCTCAACCTCCGTCAAAGTATTTATTCCCCAGGCATAGGAGGGGCATACTACAATTTATCTCAAAAACTGAAAAGTATCGGAGACAAGATCCAGTGTGCTCCGACGCAATTTAAGCTTTTTTTACAACTGATATTTTTTAAACCAGTCGTTTCGTCCAATTGAATTGTAAAATTTGGGTTTTCTTAACGTCTAGTTGTAAGTTGCTCGAACTGGTCATTGCTAATTTCAGAAATGTTATTGGTGACAGTGCCGTTTGGAAAAGGAATTTCCCGAATTTCATCACTATATTTATTTCTGTGAAGTATTTCTACCTTTCTTATGCCAGATTGTAATACACGATCTACTATAATGTTGTATGGCGTTTTGTTTTTAGCAGTCAGATATAAAGCTTCGAATGGCGGAAATAAATGCAGAGGATGTTTACACATTTTTAGAACGATTTCGGAATCGTTTAATTAATGCTAAAAATATAAAGAGTACTTTTTTTAAAAGTTCAGTGTGATAGCCTTTTTTCCAAACTATAAGTATGCATCGTGAATTTCATGATAGAAGACTTTTCGTAAAATTTCCAGGGGTACTGATTTACATTTTCTTCCACTATTCTTCAGTATTTATCAAATGAGGTGGGTTCGCCCTTAGAATTAACTCTATTCAAGACACCAAAGGCACATTAGTTCATAGGAGAAACGTCAGGGGACTTCCCAGGAATGCGTTGAAAAGGTACATATGCAACACTAGTATCAGTCTTCATTTTTTAAATGAATGCAATGGTACATTTCGAAGTATGATTTGCTGTTTTGTCTTGATGAAGTTTCACTCTTTGACAGTCACTGAAATAAAGAAATTGCATTTCTTCTGTAAATACCGGACTTAAAACTTTCTCATGATAGTACGTTAGGTTAATTTTAACATTTTTTCTACTCTTCCTATGTGAAATGTCCCAATCCTGCGACAATCATAGCCTGCTTCTGAAACTTTCTATGCATTGATGGAACTAGGTCATAAGTTTTCAGTGCCTTTGTTACTCTAGTACAGAGTAAAGAGTATTTTTATCCTGAACTGTAAATAGAATAACATCTAAAACAATAAAGTACAATGTTGCATTGTTCTTGCAATGTACACACTGGTGGACACCGTATGAGTAGGACGTGTTCTACAGGAGCACTGTATTCTACATTTATGGTCTGAATGCCTTTGGATTTGCTTCGGACGCTGGTGTTTTTTGGTGTTCTGTGATATACATTATGGAAACACAATATGTGTATGATTTAGCAACGAATAGTGACGGTCATTTTAGTGATCTATAAACGGAACCTTCGGACTGGATGAAACACTTGAATGATTTGCTCTCTAAAAAGGAATTCAACGCTGTGGATTTTATTAATGCTACTGGATTTCTAAAAAGCACTATGGATTTCGGTGAAAAACTTCGTAATAGTTGTGAATTAACTTTTAAGGAAAATCATACTGTGGATGGTCTCAAAGACTCTTCGCTGAAACTCAAATTAAGAAAATGGACTTGCCAAACGCAAGAGCTTATTAGGTAAGTGAGAAAATTTTAGGGTACGTAATTGTTCTATTGCCGATTCTGTTGTAAATTCTGATTTTAAGGTAAAGTGTTTAATGATAGTGTTGCGTGCGTACGGGTTCCTAATAGATTGAATGCACAAGTCCGATAAAAAATTAATAAAATTTATTCTTATCACATGAAATATAATAAAACTTTGCATTTTTCTTCAGAGATATTAGCACAATATCATACAATATCATGCAGTAGTTATATTTTAAATTACCAAAACGTTAAATAGAACGCAATCCAAAGCGCAGAGAAAGCTAATCCGATCTTACCGCGAATTCGCTACAATCAACAACAATAATTATCTAAACAACCGAATTGAGCTGCTTCTCTCCGCTTTTTTAAAGCTTTTTAATCGGACACGAGAAAGTTCTGGTAATTTCTGTTTCCTCGAGGTTTCTGGAAAGAAAAAGAATAGAATTACGAGATGTCTATTTATTAAATGTTGAATGCGCGTGCTCCTGTATTTTTACTTTTATAAGTATCGTGCTTCATTGAACGGGGATATAAAAAATTTTAATTATAATTCTACTAAAAAGAAATAACTAAATACAAAATTCGTAACAACAGGGATAAGAATACTAATAATGTATTGAAATGTGCTAGTTAACTGGGTACTTCTAATGAATTACTGTTCTCTGATGTTGTTAAAAATGGTAAAGAATTAGAAAAAGGTAGTAAACTTAAACGTAATTCTAAGAAACGTGCACAAGATAAAACCACGTGCTCGGATGGATTTATTTTTCCTAAAAAGATCACCAGGCCACGTAAAATGTTAAAAAACAATGTTTATATTGCAATCTGGAATAAAGTTACTACCCTTAATTGTAGTGAAAATAATACTGAAAAGGCTAATGAAAATGTTGATAATATGGATACGAATGTTGATAGTCCTGATGCTGAAGATAAGTATACACTACCACAACCACGTATAATTCCGATTGTGGTCATTCACCCAATTAAATTTATGACTTTGTTAAGAAACTTAATAATGAACTAAATGTTGTCTTCACAGTCAGAATTCCTGGTGGTTTCTTAAAACGATTACCACTCACTGTGGATCATCACCGTGAGATTACGAGATACCTAGATACTAATGGTATACAGTATTACTTACTACATGCTAAACGTGTTAAACTTGCGAAGGTTGTTATTCGAGGGTTATACTCTGACTGCCCTAAGGAGGAAATTAATGATGAGTTAATTGCGGAAGACCTGAATGCTATTAAAGTGAACCAAATATTCAGATTTAAAGCTTGTGTTCCACTATCTCTGTTTCAAGTGCAATTAGCTACTGTTGAGGGCACTGATAAAATTTAAGACTTCAGTAATTCGCTATGTTTTGATGTTAAAACAGAACCCTACAAATACAAAGGTGGTATTGCTCAGTGCCATAATTGCCAACATTCATCGGAGGGATGCAAACATGCTCCGAGATTTATTAAATGTTCATTTCTACATAAAACTATAGCGATATCCAATAATAACTATAGCGAAATACTCGAGTTTTTCACAAATCTTAAGAAATTAAAATATCTATTACGTACACTTTCAAAAACAATCCGTGACCTCCGCCGTCCTCAGTTTAGCTCTACAACGATAGTCAGAAACTTAAGCGGCAGCTGTCCAGCTGACGGAAAAATTTCCAACGCATCGATCTCTGTAATGATCGAGACGATGACACCAGACTAGCTCCCTGTCGAGTAGATCGCAAAAAGCGACCCGTTCTTCTATCTCGACGGTGTCCAGACTAGGGCCCTAAAAGGCAGAGGCATACAGGGTAAGGCTACTATAAAGGGTACTCTAGTAGCTCTAATACAGGGCAGTTATGCCGGTCCCCCACGTCACAGAAGAGCCCCAAAATCGAATGGAAAGTTTATTATTATAAAAATTTAAATAACTCCAAAAAGTTCGCTTGTTCATTACTAAAGTAGTCAAGCAGAGAGGGGCCCAAAAAAGTTTTTGCCCCAAGCCCCAGTTAGGTTAAGTCGGGCCCTGATTAATATTTCTGTTGGTAGAAAGAGCATGAGACGATGAAAGGACTTCATTGTTGATGAAAGAACTTAAGCATCATTGTTATTATGATTATTTCGTACAGACTTAAATCACTCATAACCCATTTTGGTTTTCTCCCCGCTTCTTGAATCGGCCACACAAAGTGCAAGATTTGATGGTGATAAATGTTTCACTTGTGTTTAGTAAAAGAACATCTCAACTTTTATACATAATAATGTTTGTTTATATATATATTAAAGGTAGGAGGGAATATTTTAATTTTGAATTTTTATTTTGGGTTGTCAGATGTACGCCCGCAGTCAAATTGTATCTGTGTCATAGTTATTTCGAAGTAGTATTTTTTAAACGTGAACAGACTATACCATTTACAGCGGCTTTTATGATTTTTTTTGTCCCAAAATTGAATTTTGATAATTTTGCAGTTACTGATGGAACATGCAGAGTTTTTAATAGGATTTTTGAATTGCAGATTTAACATGTTGATTAGTTCAGAATGTCATGTAGCACTTCGAATTTCTTCTGTTCTACTTCAATTTACAGTTTATTTTTTATATTTTATTATGCAGTATTTTGTTTTTCTCAATTTTTCGCGCGTTTTCAAGAATTCTAGATTTATGTGTGGAAACATAAACATAGTAAAGGAGCGTAACATAATAAAGGAGATGAAATATAATGGTCAATAGTTTTTAACTAAAATTAGCAAATGCACAAGTTATTGTACAAAATCGTTCCATATGTTAGAAATATAAAATAAGCTGCTTAGCTTCTATTCCTATTATTATTCTGAAGAAAGTATGTATTTCGTGTAATTTGATAAAGTTTTCCAGTTTCTATCTATCATTTTATTCCTCTCTGAGTTTAAAGTAAATGCTGCTTATTGAGATCATTTCAAAAGGCTGAATAGCTAAAGCCACGAAACACAAGTATCTTGTAATGAAATAATATACTTGATAAAGTCTTCAATGAAGGATTCCTGCTCTTAGTTAGATAGTCTGTAATTGCTTTTGATGTAATTTATTTATTCCATTTATCATATTTAAAAAATCTGCTAAAGTTATGTTTATCAAGTCAATTTGCGTTTAAACATATGCATGATAAAACAGTGATTGAGAATTATTTTATTAATTCTATGGTACTCTTCTGTTACAGAGACCAGATTCTGAAATATGTGTATGTATGCATGCATGTTCGAATAAATTTCATGTACGTATGTGTATACGTATTTATGTGTTCATAGACACACACATACATATATATACATCAGCATGCATACATACTTTCTGGGTTATGGTATGCATGTGATTTAGCAATATTATGATGAGCAGTAAATGACTCATTTTGGCATTGGTGACAGTTTTTGAAAATCGCACCAAGGCTGTACTGTATACTAGAAGTTTACTCATTTCTTACTCTAGAAGTTTACTCATTTCTGGTCCCAATAACAGAGGAGTACCAATTCTGTAAACTTATGTTTATCTAGCAACATATGCAAATGCATGAATTTGAAGTAATTCCTTATATTTGAATCTTTTATATACATATATCTAAATAATTTAGATAGTGATCATTAATGATGCAATTGATGATGAGCTTTATACAGTCATGGGAGCTCTAACACTTTTTATTTCTTAAACAATGACTGAGATACTTACAGTCATGGTTGATGTAATATTTCTTTATTTTTGTTAGCAAAGCATTTTTTTTTATGTCAAAGATAAATTGGTACCATAAGTGTACTTGTTCTTGAAGAACTTTATTAATATCTTTTAGACTTTTGAAAAAGCAGCAATAGGGTTTAGCAGGTCTTTAGTAGCAAAATGAGAACGAGTGAATGTGATATGTTTAAGATGAAACCTCGATTCAAAGTGTTTAATTTTAATTCAAACTTATCCCCATTGGTTAATTTTAAGTTTTGGTTACCAAATTTGAAATCGCTGTTGGCTGAAGCATTATGTAAGTATCTGTGTCATGAGCACTGTGGAGGAACCATACGATAGTGATTAATTTTGAGATGATGCAATTTGGAGTGATTTATACTAGTAGTGCTAAAAATATATTTATGAGTGTCCCTTGGTGAAAACTGGCGATTTTTGGTGGTACATGGATACCGACTTTATGCAATTCTTTGATATGTTATTCTGGCTTTGTGTAGTGGCGATTTTTACACCCAAAATCACCACTACACAAAGACAAAATAACAAGTCAAAGAATTGCACAAACTTTGTATCCATGTACACATTGACCTATTTTTGCTTAAAAAAAATCAGAGAATTGCACAAACTTGGCATTGTGCACTCCCTTCACTTTTGTTCATGTACACATCGATTAATTTTCACTTAAAAAGTCAAAGGAGCATCCAGTTCTTAAGTAGCCAAACAAAAAATACATAATCTCAATAAACTACATTTTAAATCAAACAATAAAATAACAAAAAAGGAAATTCGTCTTATGCATATAAGCACTACACAAAGCAAATATCCTTTTATTTAGAAATTTCTGAGTCCTTCAGTCTGTGGCATACAAAATTCCTTAACAGCATCCAAAAACTTCCTGAAATTATCTGAACTAGAATCCGTATATCGGCGTTGCCACATACTGAATTCACAAAAATAAGAGTAAAATTGCTGGTATCCTCCGACGTTCAACCATACGCATTTCCTTCGTACAAACAGGACATAATGGCTACTAAGTAAACCTTTATTTGCACACCAGTCAATTAATGCACTCTTCCCCTTTTGTTCCAAATTGTACCGAAACTTCAAATTAATCTTACCACATTCAGCCAGCCATTCTACTGTCTAAACCACAAAACAAGCAATGTACTTCCTAAAAACACACACCACAAGCCCTTACAAATCTATTTCCCATCATTCAAAATATACCACAATCATGCAACTAATTATGTCATAATAGGGTTTCCATAACATTCAGCTACTTAGGTTACCATAAATGAAACAACAACTTGGCGATAAATGAAACAACATTTTCACGATAATACAAGGGGCACCCTTCAATCTACTCTAACTCTAGCAGCCTCCATTTTTAAGATAGAAGAGGGAATAACCAAATTAAAATTGAGTCTCAAGGGACTACTGCATATTAAAAATAGAATTTAGATATACTTTGTTTTTATCTTAACATATTTATATATATTTGTAAAGTACAAGGATTATTCTAAAATATGAAAATGCCTTTGATAGTTCTTTCAGATTTAAAAATTATTTTTGTTAAGATTTCACATAATCATTTCTTTTCAATTAGATTCCTGTAAATAACAATGTCTATATTTGTGAAGAAAGCATTTCATTCAAGATGTGCAAGAATCCAGTTTCCAAAATGTGTTTCGTGCTTGATACATCATGGTATTTCCTCACACTTTCAGTTTTTATCCTTATCATTGCAAAATAGTATGGAATACAGCTATCGAAATTTTTCACGACTTCCTAAATGGTTCAGAATGGAGAAAAATAAATATGATATTGTAGATATTGGTGACGTTGGGCCAAAAAGAAAAATTCCTAGGCACATTGAAAAGCCTAGTTATGCTGAAACTGGAGTGGATGAAGAGGCTGATGACTATATTGAAATACTAGATGAAAATAAGTTGAAGAAAATGAGGCAGTCTTGTGCTTTGGCAAAATTAGTTTTGGAAGAAATAGGGAGACATATTGGAGTAAGTTATCTGTTGACTGAAATATTGTAAACTATTTAATAAGAAAGTTATATTAAATGTTTTTCATTGTGGAATCTTGAGTCTCATTGTAAAATATATTCATTTGTCGAATATGTTTTTATGGTGTATTGCTTTTGTATAATTATTACTGTATTGGGTTTATGCTTTGAGCAATTTATTTAATTATAGATTAAATAAATTGCAATATGCAGAAGTACTTACTTACCTTGTAGAATTAAGTTTTTAGAAAAGTGTAGAGAACAGGTTAAAAAAAAAAAAGACATGACTGTACTTCTTTCATCTTGTAAAGCTATTAGGTTCTTTGAAGTAAGAAACACAAACTGTCAGCTATGCCTTCAGCAAGATTTTCTGAACCGCAAATCTTTCAGTTGTTAGTTGGATGTATGATGAGTTGCACCACCAGAACATGCCCTGAAAAGCCTCAATAATTCCTGACGTTCTTATATTCAGAGGGTGATAGGGAAGAGAGAAATAAGACCCACTTCATCGAATCTCAGTGGTCACAAATTATTGTCCATAAGATTTTAGTAAGGTGCCGCTATGTTATTGAATTATATTTTTCAGAGCAAGAAAGGTTAAAATTCTGCTGAGATTCAAATTTTGGATTTTACAACTGCTAGCCGGACATGCTACCAGTTACACCATGAAAACTCACATGGGAGAACACAATAATTTTATACAATATTATTCATTGAAAATAATCAGTAGATATCAGAGAATAAACATGTATTGGCATAATACAGTATGATGAAAAATGTTATAATTTATTGGCCACGAAGAAGAGACTTAATAATAGTATGGTATTTACTTATTTACTTACTTACCAACAGCTGAATCGCTGTACCATCTCTTATATGACTATCAGCATTGTACTCAATTGGTGGAGCATTCTATTATCGCTAAGCCTAACCAAAAATCTTTATAGAATATTAAAATTTAATTAAAAATCAAATAAATTTGTAGCTGAATTTATAAAGTTGCTTCGGAAGATAGGTATTTGTGACCTGTGGTTATTAAAGAGTCTCTGTCAAGACTTTGTTGAATGATTTTTTTTTTTTTTTTAGATTGCTTTTAGATTTTCGCAGTTCATTGCCAGGTGGTCTATGAGAGGGTACAACTCTGATACATGCCCTAATTTCACCAAATGTGGCGATATGTGTTCTGCGCTGGTTTTGGCGTGATTGCATTTTGTATGGCAACCCTGTTGACGTTGAAAAATCTTTCGCTGGAGTTCGTTGGTTCCTGTCATGCTTTGTGTCTGAGAAACTAGGGGGGAAAGATTTAATGGTGAAAGTTGTTGAATTGAAGTTCGACATAAGGAAATATCGTCGTGGCCATCCTGTTGAAGGGCAATGGGTATTTGGAGGTGTGGAAAGAAGGTATGGGAGATTATTTTTAGCGGCTGTGTGTGATAGAAGTAGGGATTTGTGATTATTTGTTATTTTATTATTTGTGAACCATAGTATGAATTTCTGGATAGTGTGTCTGAAAGACATGTCATATAGCATACAATCAGTGGCACTTTACGTTCAGAGACGGTATGAAATTGGTGACATTCTGCTGTTCGAAAATAGCATTAATGGTAAGTGCATTTTATTTTATTCTTGTTCTTATTTTGTAGAATGTTAGGTTCATTGTTTTTTCTTAGTATGAATTTCTGTCGTTATTGCTGTTTTCTGAATTGTTTGAAATTTATTTTAGTTATTTTGTTGATTAGATTTCGTCTAAATTATTAGATTTCGTCTAAATTGTGCAATTCGTAGATGTTTTTTAAAAACATCTACGAATTGCACAATTTAGACCAGAAAGCTGTGTACATGGTATTCTTTGAAATTTATTGTTGTTATGTTAATTTATTAAAGTGAGGTGTGCGTAGTTCGTAGATTCGTTTGTTGCCTAAATTGTGCAATTCGTAGATGTTTTTTTAAGTTTAAACGGGATGCTGTGTATATGGTATTCTTTGAAATTTATTGTTATGTTAATTTATTAAAGCGAGGTGTGCGTAGTTCGTAAATTTGTTTGTTGCCTAGATTGTGCCATTCGTAGATATTTTTTAAGTTAAAACGTATCGCTGTGTACATGGATTCTTGTCAAATATTTTTGGTTAGAAATTTTCACGGTTTTTCGTTATCTAAATTTTTTGTTTTTGTTTCGGATTTTTAGCTTAAATTGTGTGTTTCAAAACGTGGTTTTTGCATGTCGCGAAAACCGTCGTTTTTGGAGACACTTTAAGGCTTAAAGTTCGAAATGTTAGACAAAAAAATTTAGATAGCAATATGGCAGCGTGGAGTTTCTCGCCAAAAATATTTGCCGAGAAATTTGCCGCCTTGAGGGTGCATATCAGAGTAGTTCCTAAAGTTTTAAGTTTGTTTCATAGTAGCTTACTCTTTTGGAGTTTTTTCAGCTGTGTACGGGTGGAAATGTAGGTCTTTGGGGATTTCACACTCGAACATCTAGAGATTGATGGTACCTGTTGAGCCGCATAGCCATGAGTTTGTGTGGTGCAATCTGAAGCGAAACAGATAGGCTGCGAAAGGGCCATCAGGAAATGTGCTCTGCCTATAGTGGTTAATTCCCTTGAGGGCACCGGGAAGAAATTACATGTCGTCCTGCCTGTCAGCTCTTGCGTCCAGTTTGTTTTCCACTGAGACATAAGGTCCTACTCCAGTCTTGATTTAAGATGTGATAATGGAATTGTCCATTTGCACTATCTCTTGCCAGTTGGTCAGCTGCTTCATTGCCCATTGTGCCCACATGGGTGCGTGTCCAGTGAAGCTTGGGACAGATTTTCTCTGGGAAAAAGGATAGCAAGCGTTAGATTTCCCTTATTAGTGGCGAGTGGCTGAGCCCGATTATTGCCTGTAAACTTGAAGCACTGTTGGAAATTATAATGCTTTTTCTTGTTGTTTCCTGGCAAATTTCATAGCTTCTCTAACGGCTAATAAAGTTGAGTTCTTGTAACTGAAAGGTTATGTAGCGGTGATCGCTTAAAGATTCCTGGTCCGAGACATTTCAGTTAGAAACTATAGGTGCAGTACTGGGCATCACCAGTGTAAGATCTATCCAGCTTTGGGCCTGTAGAGTTATTTATGATCTTAAGAGAACCAAAATTTATAAAAAGATCATGCTGATTTTTGTTTTATTAAACATTTCTTTTAACTTAAGTAACTTTGTTTTTTCTGTTAATACTTTTTTAAATTTTTTAGAGAGAGACATTTTTTCTTTGTTTACAAAGTTGTGTGTTGTTCAAATCCTGTAATTACTGCATCAGGAATTCCCATAACCTAAAATTTTCATTCTCAACACTTTTTTATCCTCTGCTGGTAATGATATTTTTGAGATTTAAACCATACTACAGATTTTTTGATCCATTAATTGACTGACTGATGAGTATCATTATCACAATGAAGACTTCAGTTAAATGACCTTATTTAGCAGCATTTCTTCACATATTCCATGAATTGAAAAAAGTTGTGGTTCTTTTCCATTGAAGCCACACCACTTGGCACATTTTTTAATCTGGCATATTTCCTTGGCACTAGGCATCATCAGTTTAGTTTATTATTGTTATTATTTATTTTTATTTTTCATTTACTTCCTGATGCAAGCACATTTCTCAGGTAAGCATATTTTTTCTTTTTTCTTCCTCTTCTACTCCTCTCTCCCCCTGGAAAAAAATATTTGTACAATTGTTGGAAAAGTTGATATCCTAATTCGAAAAAGAAGTATTTTGTATTAAGAAAAGGTTTTGTTTGACCATCTTATCTGATTAAAATGGAGTAAACTAAACTGGCAGAAAATAGCATTATTTCAGCTTACTACTATTCTACCATTCATTAATTGATTGATGACTGGGAAGGTGTTGTCATCACAATGGAAGACTTTAGTTACATCATCTTCATTTAGTATTTCTGAACAATTCCATTAATCAAAAAAATTTGTGTTTTACTTGTGATATCCAAAAATCTTCAAATTTGCAAATAATATCAACATCAAATATGGTAGTTAGAATGTAAATTATGTCAAATGTTTTTGAAATATCTATACACATGTCCTCTCATGAACTTGTAATGCTTCACACAGCAAATTTTATATTAAAATATTCCAAGAATTCTTAGATGTTCTTACTGCTGAATCAATTAAAAAAAATATTTTATATGTGTGTTCCAGTGTGCACAAAATTATGATATTCATTGGCTGATTAATGGATGTACAGTTCTGGGGAAAGAGTAAAATGGAGATGTTATCTTTTACTAAAATTTTTTATCTTTATAAAATAAAAGTTATGATATTGTAATAAACTAAACAAAATAATAAGCTGGATCAAATCAGAAAGCATGCAGTTTGCAGCATTACTGAACTTCAGTGAAATGGAATTTAATTCTTTTTGCCTCTTCCATACTATGTCAACAAAAGCAACCTTGTATGTGCAGTCTTATACTTCATGTGTGCAACATCCACTCCAAGCAAACACTAGTCTTTAGATTTCACTAATTGTGTTCAGGCCTAAGTAAGACAGAATATGCTACACTTCCCACACAATCACTCAGACCAAAAATCAAAATACAGTTCACTAGACTGCAGGCATTTAAAGGCAAAACAGTATGCAAGGTATTTCAGTACTATAGTGGATAATCGAGACAAAAATTGATTTGTGTTACATCTGCTTTTTCTTGAATATCATGTTCTCCATTCCTGTATTGTGTGAGAAGAAAAAAAAAAAAAATTAAAAAAGAAAGGAGGAAGGGTTTTATGTGAGGTCCATATGCTAGATCATTCTGGTTATTAGATGTGCAGATTTCAGATTTTTGTACGTTATCTGCAGATTACTTGTAAACAACAGTAAGCAAATGAAGGCACATGTCAAATTTATGATTTGGTATAAAGCCTGTTATTTTGAAATCTGTTAACTAACATTCTTTTGTTCAAATTCTGTAGTGGGACATATTATCATATAAATGGCTTCCAGTTCCCATTAAAACATTATTAACATTTTACTTTCAAGTTACTTCAAAGCATCTTTCAAAATATAACTTATCAGTATGGATTCACTCTTTTAAAATAATTCTACTTTAATTAAACTTAGGAGATAATATAATCAATTAATCAATATTGTTTAGGACATAAATTATTATTAACTTACTTTGCAGCAATAGTGCAAGTAGTAGTAACTTGTTTTTGCGCTAAATGAATTTAAGATCATACAACATTATATATAGTATATACTTCTACTAAATTTATATTAGGAGATAAATATATTCAATATTTCTTTTATATATATATATATATATATATCAGTAAGCTTGAAAATACTGTTGGTAAGTTGTATTGTAAAGAAAAGTTAATAAAGGAGGTTTGGTACTTTGAGCCGTGTTGTGTTAGAAAATTGTAAGTACTGTCATTTATTTGTAGAAAATCTCACATTTGCCACCTTCTTTAATATTGCTGAAGATTAGATGTGGCCTTTCATAATATCCAACAACTGCTGACTGCTAAAGCTGTAAAACATTAAGTTTGCCTCAGGTTTGGTTTACAGAAGCTCAGCAGCTAATTCTGTGGATTTTTCATCTCAGGTAATGTTAATATTCTTTTAAAATATCATCCAGAAATATGTCTCTTCCCTTAGACAAGTAAACATTGCTTTTTGACATAATAATTAAATTTAGTCCTTTTACAGCAGAGGTTTTTCTCATTAGAAGTTCCTTCTTTTAGCAATGTAGGGAATCAATTATTGGCTGAAACGTATAATTTAAAGGCAGAGTTATCAACAGCCAAGAAAGAATGCCATGACCAGTCCTATGTGAATTCCTTCTTTTAAATGCTAATTTTTAAGTAATCCTTTCTCTGCAATATTATCAGTATTGATTTCCTTAAGAGTCATGTATATAGCCATAGTAACCCTTCTGTGTTGGGTTAATTAAAGTATTTCTACCAGATATAACTAGAAATTAGATTTGATAAGAAAAATGTTCATGCGTGATGGTTAAGGTTTACTTTGGTAATGTATAGTAAACAGTTTTACAAGAGAGCTAAGTCATGTTTTTTTTTTTATTTAATTGTATTCCACCAGTATATCTAAAATTTTATATTAAATTATTGGTAATCTGGGCATTAGCCAATATATGTACGCCAATGGTCTATTGACATCCTTTAGCAATGAATTATATTTTCGGTATCACAAATCGGTTAAATAGGTTTTGGGTTTTCTGGTGGGTATTATTTTGAAATTACATTAAACAAATTGTTATTACTCAAAGCTTGTCCTTGTTTCTATATCAATTCTGCTAAATAAGAACGTGACTTCCATCAAACAGTTTCCAGTCCTTATTCTAACACTTTGCCAGCAATTGTTAATATTACATTTCCATTATGTACAGTTTCATCGTATGAGAACTGGAAAACTCATGATTTTTGGTAAACTACAACATGCTAGGAAATCATTTGTTTCTGCATAATTTCTTGCCACAAACAAGTACTAGTATAATAAAAATTAACATAAGAGGAAAAAATATTGTCCTGAAAACTTTTCTGTGAGAAAAAGGCTTCTAAGAAAAAAGGTGGAGCAGATATATACTTAATCCTAATATAATGAGCTTTGGAGATTAATCAAAAATTTATGCTGAAATTAAAAAAAAAAAAAAAATCCTTATCTTTCTTTGGGAGGGGGGAATTCTTGGCTGATGTTTCTAAAAAATACCAGAACAACATTCTCAAGAAAGCAAACTTATTTTTTATTATTGGCGATGCATTAGCAGATACTGGTCAATCCCCCTACTACCAAATTATGTAGTGAGTATTTTGTGTTTATAACAAATAAATATTGAAATTTATTGTGTAATGCATCTGAAGTAATTTTCCTCTCATAAATAGGTTGGAGTCACAACTGATGAGCTAGACTGTGTTGCCCATACTTTATGTATTAGTTATGGAGCTTATCCATCTCCTTTAAATTATAGAGGCTTTCCAAAATCTATTTGTACATCTGTGAATAACATTGCTTGCCATGGTATCCCTGATGATAGAAAATTGAAAGATGGAGATATTATAAGCGTCGACGTTAGTGTAAGTATGAGCATTTAAATTCATTTGCAGGGATTCTAAACTTTTCATATTATTACTGCTAAATGAGGATATAACATATAATAATTGTGTATTAAATGATAAATATATAAATATGGAAATAATGGAAAATCTGTATTTAGTTCCTTGATATTTATGGTTATTAATCTACTTTTTAATATTTATTATTCTTATTTTATTTGTTTATTTTCCAGCTGTAGAGCTGCATTGAAGTTGAGGGAAAATAAACAAATAGGCACTGAGGAAATGCACAGCATGCATCAAAACCTTTTTTTTTTTTTTTTTTTTTTGTAGAAACACTATTGTAATTAGCTAAGAAAAATAATTAGAAAAGAAAAGGAATTCTGGGTTTTTTTAACTGAGGTCTGTGAATATTGTGGTTATCTGAAAGCTTTTAATTGACCTGTGCATCTCAAATGTATTATATAAGAAAATTAATTTTTACTAATGTAATGTGTTTTCCACAATATGTCTTAAAAAAAATAATAATAAAAAATAAAAAGCGGGAGAGCAAGCCAGGGTTTTTGCCCCAGGCGACAAATTCAAATATAACGCTGGATCGTATTTGGTATGTTGTGCGTTAAAACAGCTCTCTAATTTTAGTACAATGTTAATAGTTTTAAGGCCAAATTTAAAAACCTTTTTTAAGAAGATTTATAATTAAATACTAAGAAGCCTTTGAACATGAGTTAAAATAAAGTTCAGTACAGCTGATTACAACTATAAATATAAGATTAGAAAGACGCAAATAGAGGGACTCCAGGCATCACTGATAGAATCAGACTGACTCTATCAGTAACGTCTGAAGTCCCTCTATCATTTCCTGTCTGGGTGGGGTGTACTTAAATGAGAAACAGAACGATAGCTTGTTAAGGAAGTCGCCCGGTTTCCATAGCAACGTCTGCTGGGAAATGGAGAAGCATTGTAACTATTTTCTAAAAGCTAACTCAAAAAAAAATAACCTTGGGGCATCCTAGACAAATGAAATAATTCAAATTAATATTTGTCGAGTATATGCAAGACACCATCATTATGTCTTCAAGATGAAGCAAGGCATTTAGATTTTTTTCCAGGCAGTCGGCAACTTATGCTCACCTTTGGTTTGACTCGGAACAGTGGAGGGTATTTTGGATTTTAAAGCTAGATTTTTTTTTTTTTTTTTTTTTTAGTTTTCAGGTCTCTCCTGTACTCTTTTTTTTTTTTTTTTTTTTCTTTTTTTAGATGTGCTTGCTTTTAATAGCCCGCACTATATTTAGCGAGATGCGACCATTTATTTAGGACTGTTCAGTGTAGTTACCTCAATTCTTAGTTATTTTTATTAAAGCAATTCATAGTGAATTTCATTTAGATTAAAAGAAACCATCTGCATGCCAAGGGGGAGAAAAGCGGAATATAGAAAACAAGCCAAAGATAAGGCCAAGCAGAGAAAAAAAATTTCAGCTAAGATGAAAAAATAACTTTACGGAAGAAGTAAACTATCAGACCCTGTCACAATTCCGATTATGATTAGTTTCTAGAGGGTATTAATATTTCTTGCAATTTGCACGACCAAACATGACTGCATATATCATCCCCAAACAATCTACAAGTCAGTATTTGAAAGAACAACCTTCTTCATCGACATCAAACGAATAGCTGGAGGACATCAAACCAGTATATAAAGATCTTTTCATTTAGCTGGGAGCGGGCAGCAGAAAAACAAAAAACTAAAAAAATTTTTATCTGTAGGACCCATGCAGTTGGCTGGTCATAGAAAAAAAATGAAAGATCACCAACAATTTTTCTTAAGCAGTGAATCACTATTATTAGCCGGTAAACATCCAGAAAATTTAAACCTCAGTCCCATTCAACGTGATAGCAGACATTTGGCATGTGATACAGAACATTAGTAAATAATGAAAAGCTTAGAAAATCTTGGTTTACATTCAAAATCATTTTTGTTGAATTTGAATTTATTTTGTTTTTTTTTGATTTATAATCTTATTTTTTCATACAATTCTCTCTTTGTTTGGTTTAGTCAAAAGTCGTTAATCCGGACTCGTCGGGACTTCGGCGATTCCGGATCATCGATTTTTCCGGATTATAGATCATCAGTTTAAATCTGGTAAGATGGCATGCAGAAATTATAAAATTAAAAATATGAAACCGTAATTTATGAAATAAAGAACAATTATGATCTAAAGGTTATCAAAATAAATAAATAAAAAAAAAAAAAAAAAAAAAAAAAAAAAAAAGCAGCTTAATATTTATTTGTTTACTTTATTAAACATTTCTTTTAATGTAAGTTGTTTAAGTTGCTTCGTTTTTTATGTGATAATACATTCTCTTTAATTCTATAAACAGACATAATTTCTTGTTCAGTTATAAAGTTCCATTGTTCAAGTCCTGTAATTGCTGTGTCTACTGACTAATTTATGAATCGAAATTTTTCCGTTTTCAATAACCTCTGTCACTTTCTTCGCTATCGGAAGCGAATTATAATAACGAGGAATTTGATTTAAATCATATGAAAGACGGAGTACATCGAGATGAAATACTACATTTAATAAGGAATTATAAGCCAAATAAAATAAAAACATCTGCCCTGAAGATAAGGATAGTGCTGACAGATCAACTTCCAATTCATTGCACACCCTGGCATTAAAGATAACAAAGTTTAGATAAATAAACGTTAAAGTTTAGATAAATAAAGGATATGCCTTTATCCATTTTTTGCAGCAATTCCACTTTTTGTTTAATGAACTTCGAAACATACTTTCGCTTTGTAGATCCTTTACATATTAATAAATATATATTAGAAATTCTATTTCACATAATCGAAAGTTCAAGCTTACTTTTATAAAATTGCTCTAATAGTCTGCAAAAAATAATAAGCCGGATCCAATTTGAAGATTAAGGAACAACGCAATGTGCAACATTAACTGAAATAGATAATTTTAGCTTAGCTTATACTGTCCATTGTACATTAAACGCGCACTCGTAAACATATTTTGCATACGCGCACAAGCATATTCGCAGCCGTAAAGGTCTTACGCGCATGCGTCAATGCGACGCATGCACAGAAAGTTTGTAGCTTTGAGGTCCGGATTAGGTGTCCAAATAAGCTTTGATGTAGTATGGATGGTATGTATCTCTACAAATGTATTCTTTCTTTACTGAGATATCCAAGTAGCTGTTCCTAGGTCTCGACTAGCGAAGGAATTTTGATTAATCCCCATTTGCCAAAATAATCAATTTAAGACCATCAAGCCCAAACAAAGGAAGGAATCATATTTATCAAAGATAATTCAAAATGAAGTTATTAACTTAAAGGCAAAACAGTCTGAAGTATCATTTTAAACAATATTAAAAAAGCCAAATACTACACAATAATGTTTGATTGCACTCCATATGTGTCTCATATAGAATAAACTGAACCAGGTGATTCAATACGTAAAAACGTGTGGTGATGTGTGTGAGATAAAAGAAAATTTAATTGATTCCATAGAAGTTGGTGGAAAGATAAGAGAATATATTTCTCCAATGCATTGTAGAAACTTACTGTCTTAATTGACACTTGATGGTTTAGATATTGGACAATGTCGGTGTCAGTCTTACGACAATAGGTCTAATATGGCTGGCATTTCTAAAACAGTACATGCGAGGATTACAGAAATGAATAAGCTGGAGGAATTTATGCCGTGTTTGGCTCACTCCTCCTAGCTTGTCACTGTGCATTCTGCTTCTTCATGCCCGGAAGCAATTAATCTGTTTGGAATTACTCAGAAAATACTGCTTTTTTGTCGGATGCACTACTCGATTGTACATTATGAAAAAATGTACAAATCATAACTTAAAAGGAAGTAGCCAGACAAGGGGTAGGCAAAATATGTGGCTGTGAAACTCCTTCTAATGAATTTACTGGAAATATTAAAATATTTAAAAGAAATTTCTCTTGATGTGGAATCAAAGCACGAGGTAGAACATCTGGTACGTGCTGTGAAAAATTTTGAATTTACTGTCAACCTGAAAATTTGAGCTAATATTTTTCTAGAATTCAATCGAGTAAATAAAGAAATTCAAAAGGAATTCCTCTTCTATGTAATTAATGAAAGAACTGACCAAAACTGAGGAATTATAAAAAAAATGAGAGAAAAATTCTATGGAATATTGGAGACAAGAGTCTAAAACAGTAGCCGAAAAAATTGCAGTTGAGTCTATTTTGACAAAGAAAAAATTTCAAAGCACAAAATGCAATCTGATGAATTGTTTGAGAGCGAATCACGAACACTTCAACCTGTTCAGATAGAAGTTTCAGCAAATTAAAACATATTAAAAAGTATCTACGATCATCAATGAGCCAGGAGGTTTATCAAGTCTCGCGATTCTGGCAACCGAAAAATAAAACCGCAGATCAAATTATGACGATTACAGTACTTATTTTGCAGAACAAAAGGCTTACAGAGTAAAATTTTAATTTTCGTTACTAATTCCGTGATATTTTAATAGCGTTAAGGCAGGTAGGGACTTAAAATTACTTATGAAATAGAAAGTATGAAAAACAAGAAAAGAAGCATGAATGCTCTCAGTGATAGCCCATATTCTGTATAATCTTTTCAGAATATTTTCTTTCCACAATAGCCCATATTTTGTATGCAATGGCCCCATTAGAGGCTGAGCAATAAAAGCCGCTGACCACTAGTAGTTCGGTCCGAGGGCCAAGTATATGTGAATGTGCTGGCTGTATGAGCATTTCCATGATTTTCCCTGTGTGTAACATACATACGAGCTAGTTTCCCTTACAAATTTTTTTTCCCCGGGGCATTCCTCCTTTTCCATGCAGTGCCTAATGATGAAACACATAGTAAATAATCAGTTCAATGTTCTCAGCATTGGCCGAGTGATTAAGACTACTGCATATTGGTAGTTCGACCTGCTTGGGATCAAACCCAGGAGAACGGGCTGCTGCATGGTTTGTTTCATGGATTTCCCTCATGTGAAGACAAGGCCAGTTTCCTTTAAAAAAGTTCCACAAAAGCACCTCTCCTCTAAGCAGATAACCCTCCTGTCTTTGCCATATTCATATAATCTAACTTAACCTAATTTAACGAGTATGCAATAACATGGAATAGTGAGAAGCTTAGGAGATGCCAGTTTACCCTAGAGCAGAAAAACGAATGGTTTCGAAGACTGGAGGGTTAGAAGCACCCAGGATTAGAGTTAGGATTAGGATTGAAGCTTAGGTTTTTACCTCAAACACCACCTATTTCTGTATTTATTATACAAAATAAAACTTGTTAGAGAAACTTAAAGGATGATGGGTGAGGGTGGCAGTTTTAGCTTTTGCCCCACATCAGAAAAATCAAAGATCCGGCGCTGGGAACCACTAGGATTTTAGAAGCCAGAAAAACATAAAAATTAAATTTAATTAAACAATTAAGCAAAGCAAACATATATTTTTCCTGTCATGAACAAGACGACACAACGCCTGCGAAGGCAATGAGAGGGCCGATTTTCTAGCAAAACAAGCAGCACTAGAACAAACAGAATCTCAAATTTGTATCCCATGGCCCAAATCAGCATTAAAGTACAAACTAAAACAAATGGCGAATGAAAAGTGACAATGTCAGGGGAAACAAGGACAATGTACACTGTGCAAAAAAAAAAAAAAAAAAAAAAAGAAAAAAAAGAAAGAAAAGGAAAAGAAAGAGGGGACAGTTTTATATCTCACGTTCTACTGGACGGATTGACAAAATTCAAATTGCATTTTTCATGTCTCGAAAGCACGGCTTAGGATATGTATTAGATTTATATATAGCACTATTCTAACATAGGTGTTTTGACATAAAATCGGACTTTTTCTGAAATAACATACCAATTTTTTTACATAGTTTGATTGTACAATTCATATTATGCCTAAATATTAGATTTTGTAAAATTTGGTGCGAAATTTATGAAGAAATTCAAAACTTTATACTGTTGCTTTTTTTTCCAATCCACTCTCCGCTCTAATACTATACAGGAGTGCCTTTAGAAGACACTACTGTGTACTATAAATGAACTTATAAACTGCGAACCATCTAACAAAACCAAACAAACAATGAACCATGTACCATAATCACTCTTCCCACCAACAAAGCTCCAAACCGAAATTCGAAAGAAATAAGTATATACATCTGTAAATTACTTAATTGTATTTATTGTATTTATCCATGCAACTGCAAAGTACCCATGTAAAGTATATCTTATATGAATATTGTCTGTAGTGCAAATTATGCACCATTAATATGCATTTATTATGAATGCTGCAATGTAAACAAATGCCCGAGCATGGCATTAGCGTGTCCCATGAGGGTGCATTTCTATAGATGGTTAGTGCAGTGGAGCAATATCAGTTTTTCCCATGGCGATGTTTTAGTGCCTGCTGTACTTCTGTCTGTATGTATGTTACTTAATTTAGTTTTAAAATAAATTCTGTTTATAGGGGACTTCCTTCTATCATATCAGGATCTCTGTAAGTTGATGACATCCAGATAAGTTGCTGACATGCAGATATGAAATATGTGGAGAGACAGTTGCAGATTGCTGTTATCAGGATTCAGAATTGGTCAGATAAACGAAGATTTTATTTTCAAAACAGAAGATGGTGTGTATGCACTTTTGCAGAAAGTATTATCTTGATCCTGAGCTACATCTTCATGGATCTTTGATTCCAGTTGCGTCCGAAATAGGTGTGTTTTTCGATCATAAATTAGCATTTTTTTCACTCATCCTGTTCTTGAGGAAGAAATGTTTCAAGGTGTTAGATCTTCTAAAAATGCTGGTGAATACCTCTTGGACTGTGGATGATTACTCTTTGCTTCACATTTATAGAGCACTTGTACATTTCAGAATTGTCTGCGTCTCAATAGTTTATGGATCAGCGTGGTTGTCAGTTTTACTAAACTGACAACCACGCTAAATTTTACTAAAAGTGGATCAGTTCATCATCAGGCTGTGCAGATTTGTTCTGGTGCTTTCAGTACATTTCCTGCCCAAATTATATATGTTGACTGTTATGTACCATCACTCCAGTTGACATGCGAGCAGTTGTTTCTTCATCGGTATTTCATCATCTATAAGTTGTCATAGTCTGCCATTTTGTATGAAGCTGCTTTTGCTTGATGACATTGTGCGAGCCTTTATTTGTTTCTTGGCCATCTTGCGTGTCTTCTTCCTCCTTAAGGGTTCGCCCTTTAAGTGGAAAACACAACATGAATGATGTGTATATCCAAGCAGTAAAGTATTTCGAAATTCCATCTTGAGAGGGTGAGCATATCCAGCTTCTCGATGCATTCAACAATCTTAACAAAAGAAATACCAATTGTATGTAGACGGTTCTTCCTTGAGCATAGACTAAAAATACAGCAGGTAGATTCCTGTATGTACAAATGGTTCTAATGGAATTAACCATGTCGGAGCATCATTTGTGATTGGTAATTTTATTAAGGACATCTGTCTGCATAATGTTTGCCGAGTTTTGACCTCTGAATTAACTGCTGATAATATGCACTTTCCTTTATATCTAAAATATGCAGGAGGAAGTTTATTATTTACAGGGACTCAATAGGTGCACTAAAAACTTTAGAAACCTTTTTTGAAACCTAGCATTGTTGAAATTCTGAAATCAAACATAAACTTGAAAAATCATGGATATGAGATTCTTTACTACTGCTGGTTCTTACTCATGCAAGTATAAAGGGAAATGAACTGGCAGACATCACAGCAAAGTGTGCTTTTAAAATGTCCAGTTGGTTTATTTCTCCCACAGATATCAAAATTGTCATCAACCATAAGATGCTGTATAAGGGGCAGGAGCTTTAAGGCAGTCAGCTACATAATAAGCTGAGAAATATTAAACCTAGAGTAGCATATAAGAAAGATAGTAGAAATAGGAGAGAGGATGTCTTTTTAATAATCTCAGAACTAGTCACTCTTGAGTTACACATAATTTTACCTCCCCAAAGCCATGAGTGAGCCTATTTGAGGAGAAATGTGGAGAAGTGGTAATAGATGAAGATGATGTAACAGTTTTCCATTGCGATGACATTGCCCCAATAATTGGTCAACTAACAGATGACAAAATGTGTAGTATGGTTCTAAACTGAGAAAATATTGCTAGCGTTAGTGAAAAAAGTGATAGAGATGCTGAGAACAAAAACACTTCAGTTGGCAGTTTAGTGAGAATTATCAACATGACAACATGTAACTGAGCAGCAAATTATGTCTATAAAATTAAAGAGAAAGTATTAGCACAAAAAATGAAGTAACTTATATTGAAAGAAATGTTTATCAAAGCAAATAAATAAATACTGAGCTTTTTTTTGTAAGTTTTGATGCCATTTAGATCTAAAGTATTTCATTATTTCGTAAAGAATTATTTCACATTAAAATTTCTCATCTCTTACTTGATTTAAGCCAGTGATCTAGAATCTGGAAAATTCCCAAATCCAGAATCAACAATGTCTCAACAAGTCCAGATCTCAGACTTTGTATTCTACAGGTTAATATAAAATGGTAATTTTTTGCTTAGCTTGCAACATTAAAAATTTTATCTTCTTTCATGTTGGCTTTGAAGTTAGAACAAAAAAAGAAGAACTTGTGCTTTCAAGAATTGTAAGAAACAGGCAGAAAGTAAGTCTTTTCTACAGCAGAACTGTGGTCTTTTCTATTTGCAAACTTTATTCATAGAGATTTTGTTTCATTTTAAGCTAATTTTCTTGGATTTTAAGCTGTTTTATTAGTTGCATATTGTTGATGAGATTTTTTTTCCTTTATGTAACCTCCTAAAGTTGGTCTAAATATTCACAGTTAGAGAATCCTTTTGGTACTTTAATTCTTTCTTCATAATAATATAAAGCTCCAAAATTTAAAAATGCTATAAATACTCTCGAGTTTTTTACCTATCATAAACACATTTTTCTGCTTGCAATCTGAAAGGTTTTATTTTCTTGTTCCAAGCACATTTATTTCTATATTTTCCTATCTCTATTTATTTACAAATGTGTGCAGCATATTTCATACGTCATTTTTTTAATAACTTAGCATGTTCTTTTATATGTATTTTTTTTAAAAATCATTATAAAGAATTTTTTCCCTAAGGAAAATTAAGCAGATGATTATTGACGAAGTCCTTTTAATAATATAGTTTAATAATTTCAAAATACTAAATTATCAATTTACTTTTCAGGTTTTCTACAATGGTTTCCATGGTGACTGTGCTTCTACCTTCTGTGTTGGCAATGTTGATACCAAGGGCCATAGACTTGTAAAAGTTGCATCTTTGTGTCTTGAAGAAGCTATTAGGATTTGCTATCCTGACCAAATGCTCTGTCAAATAGGAAAAACAATAAGGTTAAATGTACATTTTGTTTGTGTTTTGCATTAATTTTTTATTGTAAACTTTTTATATATGATATTGTCTGGTATTTTTTAAGAACCATCCTAAGTTTAAAAAATTTCATGTTGTGACAAATATCACACATATTTGGGAAGAAAGAATTGTTTAATACTGCAACAGCCAAAGGGTTAATGAATGTATGCCTATTCCTGGGAACAGTAAAGTACATTAAATTCTGAAAATGAAATTATGGGATATGCCCATCCAATCAGCTAGGTAAGAAACTAAAACAGATTTTTTTTTTTTTTTTTTTTTTTTAAATCATGAAGACTGTTTTTCAGAATACAGTAAACTCTCGCTACAACGATACCCGATACAACAATAACTCCCTCTACTACAATAATGTTTTGTGGTCCCAGTGATTTTGCATATAAACTAATGTAATCTCCCCTAATATTGCTATATTCTCTAGAACAATATAACCTCTGTAAAACGATTTTTTTCAATCTAAATTTCAGTATTATTTTCTCCCTTTATAACAATATTTTGATTTTCAAATGATTTTTTTTTTTTTTTTCGTTTCTTTTGTTATTTTTCCGTCTATTAAGACTTCATTGTGGATTATTCAACTTATCCTGAATAAATAGCTATTGTTCAGATTTCAAAACAGATGAAGACCAACCCTTTTGGGAATTGGAGTGGGTGAGGGGGGTGAAGTTGTAAATGTATGCCTAAGTATCATTTCCCAGGTAAGCTTTGGAATTCTGATAAGGTTTAAGGACATCTAGACCTGTCTGGTCACCTTGTCACAGAACAAGTACCCTTGTTAGAGGAACAGGGGGAGATGGAGGGCGGGTTGTTGTTAAGTGACGTACTGAAAAGTGAGTTCAAGGTTGTTTTATAGTCTTTAACGATTTTGAGTTCTACGCGAAACATTGGTTTAAACTTGTGTTTCTTTTCACGCGATATTGTTCCCTAAGATGGCAGGGCAAAAGCAACTATCTTTTCGAGATAAACTGAACTTTATCAATGATATTGATGAGGGAATGAAGCAGATTGATGCTGGCTGAAGAAACAGGATTATCGCAATCTACAGTTGCAACGTTCCTAAAGAAGAAGAGAAAGCAAATCGAAGAAGATGCTGTAACTTCCAAATGAAATTAACCCAGAGCGAAAAACGACTGAAAGTTGCGACAAATGAAAACATTGATGCTGCGTTTTAAAATGGTTTCAAGAGATGAGAGCAACAAATGTCCCAATAAATGGACCTGATTATGTGCAAAAGCAAGGAAATTTCAGCAGCAATGCTAGGGAACGAAACTTTCAAAGCTAGCAATGGTTGGTTAATGCTTTTCGAGATCGTCATGGAATAACGGTTGATCTTTACAATATGGTAACTGATAGTTTGGCGACATTTTGGAGGCGATAAAGGTTACTACCTGGGACTTTGGTAATAATGTGAGCAGTACTCAGTTCCGATTACGCATTTTATTTTTGTATTTTTGTGTGAGGGAAATGAGAGATCATGGGATATGTCATGTGATGTTAATGGACGAATTACGGTTCTTTAATCGGAAAAGGAGGGAATTTGGACAAATATCTCTGGCTGTTATATTATTTTGTATTAAGCTTCATTGTTGGTTGTGTGAAGTAGTAGGTTTTGAATAATTTTGGATTGTATGCGCGTTTGTCTAAAGTGAATTCGAAATTTTTATACGTTTGTGTGATAATTCAAAAGAATTGGTTGAATGGTGCATGAGTATAGGTTTAATTGCGGATAAGTATGAATGTCCAAAATGTGGGAATGAAATGAGATTGTGTGAAAGGAAGGATATTACTGATAAATTTGAATGGCGGTTGCAAGAAATCTGGTGAAAATGGACATTTTGTGAAACGGAGTGTAAGGAAAGGGTACGTGGTGTGTGAAAGTCGTTTGAGTATGGGTGAGATTTTATTGATTTTTATTATTGGGTGAATAGATTGCCAGTTGACTATTGGATTTCGGATTTAGAAATTAGCAGTAGGACTGCAGCTGATTGGAATCTTTTTGTAGGGAAGTGTGCGTGGAATTTTGCGAAAATGATATGGGTATGCTTGGTGGTATGAATGTTATTGTGGAAATTGATGAGAGTAAGTTTGGGAAGTGGAAGTATCAGAGAGGTAGGAGAGTGGAAGGAAAATGGGTGTTTGGTGGGATTGAAAGGGGTAGTAATAAATGTTTTTTTAAGGTTGTGCGAGATAGAAGTGAAGATTGTTTATTGAGTTTTATAAAAGAATATATTCTACCGGGTACTATAAGTATTTCAGATTGCTGGAAATCATATGAATGTTTGGAAGATGAAGGTTTTAAGCATCTTGCTGTGAACCACAAATATTATTTTAAAGATCCGGAAACAGGTGCACATACCAATACAATAGAGGGCACGTGGAGTGGTATAAAAAGCACCATTCCGAGGCATTGTGATAAGGAGAATTTTGCTTTTTATTTAGCAGAGGAAGTGTGGAGGAAAAATTCGGAAAAAAAATCTTTCAATAATTTTATTGAATCCATAATAAAAGTGTATCCACCATGTAAGCAAGATTCTGAAGAAGATTAGGTTAGTTAGACTTTGGTAATAATGTGAGCAGTACTCAGTTCCGATTACGCATTATTTTGTGTGAGGGAAATGAGAGATCATGGGATATGTCATGTGATATTAATGGACGAATTACTGTTCTTTAATCGGGAAAAAATCTGGAAATTTTGTATTTGGCTTTATTCTGTGTTGTGTGAAACAGTGTTTGTTAATTTTTGGATCCCATGGCCGTAACTAAAGTGAATTCGAAATGGGTATTTAGTGGTATTGAAAAGGGTAGTAATAAATGTTTCTTTAAGGTTGTGCGAGATAGAAATAAAGATGTTTTATTATGTTATTTATTTTACTTGGTACCTTGCTATGAAATATAAGTATGATTTTAAAGATTCTGAAACAGAAAGAAGAAAAGTTTATCGGACACGTAATCAAGATTCTGAAGAAGATTAGGTAAGTTAGTATTTTTAATTATTTGAGGATATTATTTTTTATGCATTGTTCTAAATGTAAGGTGGAAGTAAAGGAATTTGGTATTATTGGGAAAATTGTTATTAGCAATGATTTAGTTTAAAGTAATTAGGATTGTAAGGTAATTTTTATTAATTTAATGTATGTGCTCATTTATATTTTAAGTAGTGTTTTTGAATTTAATTATATTTTAATTAAATGATAGTTATTTTGTGAATTTTATGTTTGTAGGAATTTGGTATACGTTTTAGTTGAAGTAAACGTGCATGGAAATAATTTAAATATCTGACACTAAGTATTTGTAATGGTTGCGGTATGAATTCGTTGGTGACATTTATAATATAATAGATGATTTAGAGGTAAAAGTTTTTGGATATTTTATTTATTTTATATGTGGAAATGTTCATATTTGGAAAGGGTAAATACTTTTTCGCGATCAGGTAATTTCATATATGTTCTTTTTACCGGGTTTAAAGATTGAGAAAATTGTCATGTATTTTCGTGAAATTTTTCTAATTTATGAGAAAAAAGCAGTGTACATGGATATAGTGAAGAGTGTGCACAATGCCATTTTTGTGCAATTCTGGGATGTTTTTTTAAGTAAAAATAAGTCTGTGTGTCTGCGTTTTGGTTTATGTGTATGTGTTATTTTGAAAAACGCGTAAGGAGTATGGTATTGTGCACTTTTTCCCAATTTTGCAGTGAATATTTGTCATGATTAAGCAGTTTTGTTTGATAAAATTTCTAGCATAAGTGTAATTCAGCTAGTAGATTGTTGGAAGAAGTGTTCAGTAGATAAAAAGAAAAGAAACATGTCTTTACTTCGTGAAGACAAAATGGCGGCGGGAAAAAAAAATAGAGGGTTGCTGTAGGAGAGTTGGTCGCCAAAAAATGACCAAGTTACCATAATGTAAAGATCAACCGGAATAACTTTCCAAGAAGTTCACGAAGAGAAAAAGTCAGCCCCGATAAACGACACAAATGAATGGCAAAACAAGATGAAAGAAATCTTGGAAAAGTATGCTCCAGAAGACATTTATAATGCAGATGAAGCTGGGCTGTTTTTCCAACTCCTACCCGATCGAACATTGGCATTCAAGGGTGAAAAGTGTTATGGAGGGAAGAAATCAAAGCAGAGACTGACTGTTCTGTGTACAAATAGCACAGGAACGCATAGAATAGAACCTCTTGTCATTGGTAAATCATTGAAGCCAAGGTGCTTTAAGAACGTGAAAAGTCTTCCCGGGGAGTTTAAAGCAAATAAGAAGGCTTGGATGACATCTAAATTTTTTTCCGAATGGTTACAGAAGTTAGACAATGAAATGAAGAAGAGAAAGAAAAAATCATTTTGTTGATAGATAACTGCGGTGCTCACACGTCATTTCCAAAGCTACAAAATATCGAAATCGCTTTTTTCCCTACCAATTGCACTTCAATTTTACAGCCTCTTGATATGGGCATAATTAAGTGCTTCAAAGGATATTACAGTAAATGGTTGGTGGACTCCATACTTGTAAACTTTGAAAATAAAGTAGAAGACCCTTTCAAAGCTGTAAATGTCAAGGAAGCGTGTGACAATATTGCTGGAAGTTGGTGGGAAGTAACAGAAAAAAACCATTCGTAATTGCTGGAAAAAGGCCGGTCTTTGTGTTATGGAATATAAGAAATCTGATAATGATGAAAATTCCATAGACAATGATCTCTCAGACGATCAAGAACGTGTTTTGCACATCAAAAAATCCGTATCCCAACTTGAGGAAACAAGCGGTAAAAAGTTTGGAATTAGTATAGAAGACTATTTAACAGCAGATGATGATCTTATGGTTTTTGCAGGAGTTACTGATGAAGATATTCTCTCTGAAATTACTGATGAGATAGGAAACGATGATGATATTGATGATGATGATAATACAGGTCCATCGCAGTCCTTATTGTCATCTCAGGAAGCTCTTCGATCTGTGAATTCTCTACGGACATTTTTTTCAAGCCTTCTGTTGACAAATGAAGAACATTTTCGTGCACTAGACTCAATGGTGAACTTAACAGTTAAAAAAATCAATAAACAAACAAAAATATTGGATTATTTTCAATAAAAAGTGTTTTCAGGTATGTGAATATTTCTGTGCTTATTTTCTGAATTTATCTTATTTTTTTATTTTTTTTAGTATTTAAACCACTATTATTAGTATTTTGCAAATTAATTTCTTCTAAATATAGACTTAAAAGAAAAAGTAAACACTAATAATAATAATAAAAAAAACTCTTATTAAATGCTCAAAATATGTGGGCCCTGGATATAACAATATGCCTCTCTACAACAATATATTTATTTGGTCCCTAAAATATTGTTGTAAGGAGGTTTCACTGTATTTATTTTTATTTGATCCTTACTCTCACTAATTTACTCAACTTTTAATATATTTCATTTAATTATTTAGGCATTTTATTTTTTTACCCTTGTTCATCATTAGTTTAATTTTACTGCTGAATGTCTTATTTATTTCTGTTTTTATATCTGAATTTCTGTTAGATTTCATCCTTTAATTTGAAGAAATTAATGACAACAATCGTCACAATTGGTAGAATTTTATCTCTATGCAGATTTCTTTATATGCATATACATTTCTTTAATATTCTGTATATAATTCTTTATATTACTCTTTTTTTTTTTTTTTTTTTTTTTTATTCTTTTAGATGTAGAGGCTATTTTAAGTTTCTAAGAGTTATTTTAATTTTTAAACATGCTTTACTCTCTATTCTCTTTTTGCACCTGCTATTCCTTACCAGAATACGTTTTAGTATCGCTTTACATGCAAATGAGATAGAAAGAGCATTGAAAGGAAGGTTTCTCTTACTTCAGCTGAAGAGCTTAGGAGTCTTTAGTGACGCAAGTTTGCTGTCAGGCTGCTTCATTGTTAAAGCTAACTCTGCTTGGCTATATTGTACGTGCCTGCTGATATTTGTCTATTAATTTAATTAAAGGCCAACTGCATTAGATAATTTTGTGCAGCTTTGGCTAAGTTCAGTTAAGTTTAGCATTAGATTAGTTTCTTATTTTCTTATCTTGAGTAGAAAACTAAGTGGAGGCTTTTCTGTAAGCCTGAGAAAGGGGCCATATGTATTCTTAGTTTGAGATATTAAAGGGCGAGTTTAACTTCTCTGGACTTTGTCATTTATACACTCAGCAATAAGTCATTACATAATTCAACTAGGTTTTTACAAAGTTAAGCATAGGCTAAATAGTTAAAAATACATAGTAGTTTTTGGGTGTATATACATTTCTTCAGAATTCATTTTTGTGTGCTATAAAAGCTTGGAGAACTACTAGAATCAACATAGCACGTATCTAAATTTTGTATATATTGAAACTTTTCCTTTGATTTTCATTTTTATTTCTAAGCTTTTTTGTCCCTTAGAAAGTAGCCCTTTTGTTTGTTTGTTTGTTTGTTTGTTTTGTTGTTGTTGTTTTGTGTGTGTGTATAGATAGATACATATGAGTTTTATAATTTTTCCCTTTGTGTGTATATGGTGTTATATTGAGTGAAAAATTTTATTTAACACGCAGAAATTCTTTAAAAAATGCACACAAATCTTTGAATTTATTTTTGTGGTATGGTTTCGTGTGTTTCTGCTTTGTGATTTAAAATACATTAACATTTCTTTTTTCAAAGCAGCTAATTGGCTTGTATATGTAAATTCTATTTATTATTCTTACCATAAAATTAAAAAAAAAAAAAAAAAAGACTGATATTTATTTTTTATGTCTTGTAGTACTGTGGCCAACTCTTATGGATATTCAGTTATACCAGCATTTTGTGGTCATGGCATTGGCTCTTCCTTCCACAGTCATCCAAATATTTTACATTATGGTAAAGTTTTTCTTAGCTATGCAGTTCTTAATCTTTCTTCCATATAAAGTAAAAAGTTAACAATGAAAGGATGAGATGCTATAGAAATTTTCAGTCACCTGTGTGTAAAGTATTAAAATACAGTTTTTATGCAAATCATAATATTTATGCTGTTATTATATTCAGGCCTTAAAAATGATTTCAATTAAGGGTTTTAATATTGGGAAATCTAAGAGAACATTGAGAAGTCTTAAGAGAAGCTATAAACAAGAAACTTCTGCAGTTGAAATTTTGAAATTTCAGATTAAGGAAATATATAGATATTTGGAGATTTGTTGAAATCTTATGCTTTCCCATTATATATTTAACATAAGAAAGTAAAGAATGTAAGCTATTGCACATCTTCATTTGAAAGTATATTTTTTATTGCAATTTCATGTATTAAAATGATTTATAGTATATGGTTCCCTTAATCAATTTTTGTTATAATAATGGTTTTCAAAATTTTCATCTAATCTTTCATGCATTCACGTAAAATCTGTATTATTTTCCAATTTTATAAATTTGTTTTTATTTATTTTAAAAATAAGTATAACAATCACTAAAGTTCTTATAGAATTTCGCATTAAAAATAGTTTTTAGTTTCCTTAGCAATTATTTTTAGTATTTTATGGAAGACATTGCAAGATCAGCATTTTAAATGACAACATATAATTAACATTTTCTGCCTTCTCTCATACATGATGGAATTATGTCATTATTTTTGTAAGAATTAATTATTTCATCTAAATATTCAAGTAAAACTCTGTATGTGTAGTTTTAAATTTGGAGTCATCTTCTATTTTTAAATTTATTCTTCTTTCAAATGTTGCATGTAAACAAGCTGCAGTTTGGAGGATATGAAGGATATTTTTCTGAAGAGAAATATTCCTAATCCACAATTCAAAAGTCTTGTAAAGGGCTTGATATTAAAATTTCTAAATTTAAAATAAGGAACATCATTAATTGGAAGGGAAAAATCATCAATCATTATTTCTACATGGAAAGAAGTCTCCAAACAAATACCTGAAGAAGGCGCATGCTGTTTCTAACGTAAATTGTTAGTAACAAGAGAAAATCTACCAATGCAGATCAGTTAAAGTCTTTAAATACATCTGTAGCAACAGTAAATAAGATAATAAATTAAGATTTACAAATTAAAAATGCTACAAAACGTAATATTCACCAGCTTTTGCCATGACATGTGGTTCTATGCAGAACAATTTTTAGAACCTTGTATGAAAAGTATTTAGCAGGATATAAATGGAAATACACTGTTGTGTATTATAAAACATGGAAATACACTGTTGTATATTATAAAACCGTGTGTGTGTTATAAAACATGGGTTTACGTAAGTGACTGCGACAAAAATCTATTTATTGTGGAAAAGGAAGAGAAAGAAATGCAAAGAAAATTTTAGTAAAGGGTTTATGATTTTAAAGTATTCTCTTACAGTGAAAGATTAAAAATAAAAAGGGGGAAGTGTTAAAATTAACTCAATGTTCTGTCAAAAAAGTTTTACAGCTGATATTTACTGAAAAAAAAACCAAGTTTCTTTATCCTAATGACTTTGAATGACCTAGTGAAACTTCATCAAGACAAAGGAACAAGGTATACTTCAAAATGTTCCACTGCATTCTCTGAAAGAGTAAAGACTGATACAGGTATTGTATACATACCTTTTCAACATATTCTTGTAAAATTTCCTGTCCTTAATTTCTCACCTATGGACAATTGTGACTTTAGTCTCTTGAAAATAGGTCTTCTGCATATCTACCATAATTGACAAACTCTGGAAAGTAATACGTAGGTAAGTTGAAAAATAAGTTTCCCCTGTCGACTGTGGTCAGAGTTGTGTATGAAAGTCAAAAAATAGAATGAGACATTAAAGATATGACATACCTTTATTTTTCCACATAGGTACCAAGTACATTGAGACGTTTGTCATATCGCTTGATAAGCTTCAAAAAGCCCTCCAGGAAAAAATCAGGGCTTTGCATATGGAAGAAGCGTTGAACGGCTATGGGCGAAAGGCGACACAGCAGGAAAACGTGCAAGTCACCAATACACCATTGGGTAGAGGTCGCTGCAAATCAAGCAGATAGCGCTGTTGCAGTGCCTGCGCAAAGCGGAGGCCAGCCTCTCATTTGAGCCCCGGTAGGTATGGAGAGAAGGTGCGTTTTGAATTCGTGGTCAAAGGAGGAAGTGAGAGCGGTTATCCGCTATGAATGGGCACGTGGAGTATCAGGAACAGAAATTCATAACCGCCTCGTGGAAGTCTATGGGCCAGGTGTGATGTCGAAGCAAATGGTGCGGAGATGGTGTCGCACATTCAGTGATGGACGTCAGCAAGTGGAGGACATACCGAGAGCTGGACGGATGCACACAGCCACTACAGATGCAAATGTCAGGAAGGTGGATGACATGATTAGAGCGAACCGGCGGATCACCATCGGTGAAGTAGCGGAAGAACTTGGAATCTCACATGAGCGAGCTCAAAACATCATCCATGACATTCTTCGATACAGAAAAGTGTCAGCACGATGGGTGCCCCGACAATTGACCTCGACACACAAGGAACAACGCATGGGGGTCAGCCTGGAACATCTTGGTGGAAGGCGCTTTGAAAGCAATACTGAAGTGAAACAAGCCGTCAAAGCTTCTTCCATATGCAAAGCCCTGATTTTTCCTGGAGGGCTTTTTGAAGCTTATCAAACGATATGACAAATGTCTCAATGTACTTGGTACCTATGTGGGAAAATAAAGGTATGTCGTATCTTTAATGTCTCATTCTATTTTTTGACATTCATACACAACTCTGACCACAGTCGAGAGGGAAAACTTATTTTTCAACTTACCCTCGTAGAAGCGAAATGGAAATCAATACTCTGGAAATTTTATGAAAAGCCCTTCTATTTATTATTATTTATCTATATTCTATTCTATTATTAACATGAAAATCACGATGTAAACCAGAAAAAAGGCTATCAGACTGAACATGTAAAAAAATATTCTTTATGTTTTGAATATTAATTACGTGACCCCGAATTGTTCTAAGAATGTATAAAACACCCTCTTTATTAGGCATTCCAATTATAAAAAAATTGTTATAGATATTATAATTAAGAATATAGCATCTTGGGAGTACTGCCTATCTTGATACTTGTTTTTGCTTAGGTATTTGAAAACACAAAACTAAATTTGTTGTAGCCACTTGCCTGATAGTAACACGAAACCAAATCCATGAATTTTCTCATGGCCTTCTTGGGTACCTTTGTAGGTGACGCACTCATAATAAATCTTCATGAAAGTATATTAAAAATTATTTTGAGGTTTTTTTTGGCATGTCTCTCTTGATTGTTACATATGCAAATATATTTCAGATAATAAGTAGATAAAAGAAATGCTTTTAAGAAAAATAACTGACATGAAGTATCCAAATCCATCAATTTTATTTCAGAAACTCATTTCTGCAAAACCTATTTGATGTCTTTTTTTTTTTTTTTTTTCTAATGAAAGTTTCCAATTCAAAAGGAAGCAAATGAAACATTGGAACAAAAATTCAGCTCGCCAGTTTTCTTAAAAATGAATAATACCCATTCATTAATTTTGAATGATGTGCTTCTAGTCGGACATAAACACAAAAATATGTGCAAAACCTAATTTTTGTTTGCATAGATTTCAACTAAAAATATTAGTGCAAGAATAAAGTGATCTAAAAATGTGTAAACACCCTCTGTATTTTATTCTATGAAGGCATGTTTGTTTATCCATTGAAATGTAGTTGTTGTAATGTTAATGCAGTCCATCTTGTTCATAATGAATTGATGTGGAGATCATAAGTGTTTTATTCTTTTTTTTTTTTTTTTTTTTAAATCGGGAACATGAAAACTGAACCCGCTTTTACCAGTATTCAAACCAGGATCTTCCAGTTTGCTAGCTCAAGGTGCTAACCACAAGAGCTTGCATTGGGGAATATGACTAACAGAGTGGCAAAAAATTTTTATGTTCATTAAATTCATTATAACAAATATTGCTAAAAAAACCATCAGCAACAAAAATACAAAAACAAAAAATATGTGTAGAAAGATAACTTTTAAAAATTCATTTTTTTAATTATATTATTATTAATAAAACCCGTTTTGGCTTTAATTGCAAGTTAATAAAGTAGTGCTGTGTGTAGTCTGTATTTTTTGTTGTTGTTATTTCATACAAACGTGGTAGGGTACTAGCTGCACAAAATTTAATTAAGGGGAGTCTTATCAAGGTACAAGTTGCACGAGACCAATGAACAATAGCCAACTCTTCCATTCCCCATCTTAATATACAAAGGGTGAACCCAGCAAAGGAAATGCTAGAAAACCCACAAACTGCTTTTGACTTTCTTTTATCTTCCCCCTTTTCTAAGAACATGTTTGCTACAAAAAGTCATTTATCCCTACATATGGGACATTTGGTTGAGACTGCAAGTCACTATTTCATCGTTCAGGTATTCTGAAAATTGTGCACCTAAAATAAATATTGTATTAAAAGAAATCTTTGTATACGCTTGTAGCAGTTGCTACATCATAAACATTATTTTTCTGCTTTAAGAATTACTTTACACTACTAATTTTGCAAGAAATACAATTTATTATTCACTTTTTAAAAACATTCTTTTTTAAAGGACATCATTCTATGGTTATTTGTTTCTTGCTGTTGCCACTCACAGCCTACATAAAGTTGTACGAAAAAAAGATTATATATGGTTTGTAGAGGTTACACTAGTCCCCTTCCAAGCAACATAGTTGCAATACAAGGAGAAAAATTATTGTTCTCACATAAATACTTACAATAAACTACATAAATACTATTTACAAAATGTTAGAGTCATTATATGAAAAATTAGTATACAACATTAAATATTCACGTAATCTTGGTAACGGACTGGAAAAGTAATTGTTCTCCCACTACGTGTTGTTTTAAATTTTAAATCATCAGT